TTAGCCAAATTATTTCATTGGATGTCATCTGTGTTCACTTCCCATGTGTTCTGATGGGCATCCTCTGAGTTCTCATCTCTTCCTGTATCACAGCTGGTCCCTGCTCACCCACCTCATCGTTATTCATTTCACTGAGTGTTTATCTGTTATCTCCTCATAAATCCATAATGTTCTAAGATGTTTGATGTAGCCAGGCCCCCATGGCTCAGTGGTTGAGCATCGACCTGTGACACAGGAGGTCACGGTTCGATTCCCAGTCAGGGCACAGGCCTGGGTTGTGGGCTTGATCCCCAGTGTAGGGTGTGCAGGAGGCAGCCGATCCATGATTTTCTCTCATCACTGATGTTTCTTTCTCTCTCTTCCTCTCCGAAATCAATAAAAAAACATATATTTTAAAAATCCAGTTAGTTTTGTACAGAAAGGAATATGTGTCACAGTGAAACACGACAGAGCACAATGAACTGAATTTATGTGCTCGAATAAGAAATCAGCTGTTCACAGCAATGAGCAGCTGATGCTTTTTAAAAAAAATATATTTTATTGATTTTTTACAGAGAGGAGGGGAGAGAGATAGTCAGAAACATCGATGAGAGAGAAACATCGATCAGCTGCCTCCTGCACACTCCCCACTGGGGATGTGCCCGCAACCCAGGTACATGCCCTTGACCGGAATCGAACCTGGGACCTTTCAGTCCGCAGGCCAACGCTCTATCCACCGAGCCAAACCGGTTTCGGCAGCTGATGCTTTCATCATCTGCTTAACCTCATGACATTACCTATACTTCCTTCTACCCTGACACATCTACGTGGGAATGAGAACAAGTGTGCGGCGAGGCTGTAAGTGCCGAATCGCAAAGGAAATGGTTGATTTTCTCTGCGCCTAAAGGAGAGCCATGCGTGGTGCCTGATAAACCCTCTGCCCAGGAAAATGGTCCAGCCATCTCCCAGAGGCTCCATGACGAGTTCATGTTATAGACGCTACAACATTCACCTGAGCCTGTCAGACATGCATCTGGGTAAGGAGCAACAGAAAACTCAATGCTACAACAGGGGCAACAGCACTGGCTGTTCCTATGGCCATCCATGAGGGCAGCGCATTGCCTATGCGATTTCATACTTAAAGCACCAAGTGGTTTCCACCTAGTACTTGTCTCAGAGTATTTTGTAGGAGATGTATTGTCATCTACAGTTTGTATATTAAGAAATAATGGA